AGGACGTCATTAGAGCAGACGTCCCAGAGGCCACGAAAGGGGCGACGGGTTCGCAGTGTGCAGCCCCCGCAGTGATGCGGAGCACTCTTCTAGGTCTGCGCAGGGCGTCGCTCCGCCGGGCCTCCCGGAGGCCCACGAAAGTGGCGTCCTGTGTTAAGTCGGGCATGTCCCTCTACAGGAGAAAATTGTCAGTGGACGAATTTTTGCCCATTTTTGATTATTTGTTGGGGGCCTTTTTCGACTGTTTTTCATTTTCCTTCAAAATCCGCCTATAGGAGGACATGCCCGACCTAATTCCAGTGGCGCAGTTCGCGGCCCCGCAGGGAGGGCGAGGTCCCGTTTTGCGTCTGCGCAGGACGTCATTTCGCTGGCCCTCCCTGGGGCGCACGAACGTGGCGACGGCTGCGCAGTGTAGGTGGGCAGAGGGAGGGAGGGAGGGAGGAGTTGCAAAAGGAGGAGACGCGTGAACAGTGTTCTAGCCAAAGCGAGAACCCAGCGCAGGAAGGTGAAGGAGGAAGCGGAGGGGGAGGGGAATTGAGACTAGTTGTGCTTCATTCAAAACCAGAGTCCAACACTGGAAGGTTGGGAGCAGACATTGTACAGTGATCGTGCCCCCCCACGCATGATCTAAGATTTTGCTGCAAAGTGCACGGTGTAGGAATCACGTTAGACCTCTTCAGCCCAGCGGGCTGGTGGGATGAGGTGGAATCCGCGATTTCGACTTCTTCGGTCTTTGCTGGGCGTCCTCTTGAGCCCGTCTTGGGGCGATCTCGGGTTGTCTTGGAGGTATATTGGGCTATCGTGGCGACCTCGTTGGCCTGCCTCGGCCGTCTCTGCAAGCCATGTTGGGCACCTTCGACGCTTCGGAGAGCGCCATGGAAGCGTGGGGGCGCCCAGGAACCCGCGAGAGAACGAGCGAGAGAGCGGGGCAATGCACACGACTGCGCGTGATGAGGAGGGGGGGTCCCCCAGAACGATGCAGAGGCCCTACCGGATGTCACTTGGCTCTCCTCCACGCATCAACGTGCCAGGCGGCATTGTGGCGGATAATGTTCAATTATTCGGCAGTTGCGACGCTCGTGACAAAGATACACGAGCGTGGCTGCCTCGTGAATATTGTCGTTGCCCGAGCGGGCTCCGCGATGTTCGCCATTTCGGCATCTGCGGCGCTGGGTACAATTCACGAGCGCCATAGGGGTGCTTCAACCACCTACTCTTCCTTCTGCTGCCGCACCTCTTCCTCCTCCGTGCCTCCTCCCCTGTCCTATCCTCCCTGCCTCCTCCTGCCTTCCTCCTTCCCTTCCTCCGGCCTCCTCTCTTCCCCGCTTTCCTTCTTCCCCCTCCTCCCTCCGCCCTCGTGCCTGCCTCCCCTGTCCTACCTCCACCCTCCTGCCTCCCCCTCCTCCCTTCTCTCTCAACCTCCCCATCCTCCCCCTCCTCTGCCTCCGCTCGCCTCCTTCTCCTCCGCCCTCCTCCCTTCTCCTCCCTCCTGCCCTCCTGCTCCCTCCTCCCTCCTGCCCCCCCCTCGTCTGTCACCCTCTCCCTCAGTCCGCTTCACCCTCCTCCATCCCGCCTCCCGCCTCCTCGTCCTCCTCCTGCCCTTTCTCCACCCTGTGTTTGCTGTCCTGTTACCACTGAGCTCCAGCCTCTCATGCACACTTCGGGGCGGACAGCGGGAGGGGATATGCTGATGCTGCTGCTGATGATGATGATGCTGATGATGATGATAATGCTGATGATGATGATAACGACGACGACGACGACGACGACGACGACGACGACGACGACGACGATGATGATGATGATGATGATGATGATGATGATGATGATGATGATGATGATGATGATGATGATGATGATGATGATGATGATGATGATGATACTGATGATGATACTGATGATGATGATGATGATGATGATGATGATGATGATGATGATGATGATGATGATGATGACTGATGATGATATGATGATGATGATGATGATGATGATGATGATGATGATGATGATGATGATGATGATGATGATGATGATGATGATGATGATGATGATGATGGTGATGGTGATGGTGATGGTGATGGTGATGGTGATGGTGATGGTGATGATGGTGATGGTGATGGTGATGGCGATGGTGATGGTGATGGTTGTGATGAGTGTGATGATGCAGGCGATTTGCTTTTGGGATCTCCTAGTGGAGGGGGATGAGTAGGCTGAGAGGAAGGAGGAGGAGAAGGAGGAGAAGGAGGAGGAGGAGGCGGAGGAGGAGGAGGAGCAGGAGAAGGAGAAGGAGGAGGAGGAGGAGGAGGAGGAGGAGGAGGAGGAGGAGGATGAGGAGGAGGAGAAGGTGGAGGGCGAGAGGGCGAGGAGGAGAAAGAGGCGGGTCCGTTGGCCAGGCCTGCAGGGCGAGTCCACTGGCATCCTTGGGATGATGGAGGTCCTGGAGTCCGACTTCCAGCGCACCATCACCGAGACGAAGAAGTTCGAGGCGGAGGCCAAGCAGGAGCGTGGATGGTAAGACATCGGACTGCACGCAGACAGTCTCCCCAGGCAGACCCAGCTGGCCTCGGCAGGCTTCCCTGGAAAGCTCCGCGCCCCAGATTTGAGGTGGCGAGACCGCCCTGGACTGCTCGGGTGGGGGCGTGCCTGCACATGACCCGAAGCCTTACCAAGCGCGGACACGACCGCGATGACTTGACGGGCGCCTGGCGCTTGCGGGGGAACCTCGGGACCAGCCCCTGCAAGCAAGGAAAGGGGGGGGGGGTGGCACGCAACCGCGGGAGGCCCCCCAGGGTGCAAGGTGGGGGGGGGGGCGGTGGGGTGGGCCCCGTCCCCCGCGCCTGCTGCCAGGGGGGTGATTGGTGAGGAGCTGGAAGCTCCTGGGGACCCACCGCTCTGAGCGCACGGGCAAATGACGACGACGGACGACGACGACGGCGACGGCGATTACGACGGCGACGGCGATGACGACGATGGACGAAGACGACGATGAACACGACAAACACGGCGGCGACGAGGATACTGACGACGACCCGCACACCCGCCCCGCCCGCCCACCCACGTCCATGTGTTGCCCGCCCGATTCGCCCAGTGTCCTGCCCGCCCGAACCGTCCGTTAGGATCCCGCCCGCCCGTTGTGGTCCCGCCCGCTGGACTTGTTGAAAGCCTTCCCGCCCGCCTTCATGCCCCGCCCGCCGGACTCGCTCGTTTCGGATCCGCCCGCCCCACCCGCCCATTAGGGTCCCGCCCGCCCGACCCGCACTTTAGTGTTTCGCCCGCCGTGATAGTCATCGTCGTCGTCGTCGTCATCGTCGTCGTCGTTGTCTTCGTCGTCGTCGTTGTTGTCGTCGGCGTTGTTGTCTTCGGTCGTCGTCTTCGCTCGTTGCCTTCGGTCGTCGTCTTCGGCCGTCGTCGTGATCGTCTGTCGTCGTGTGTTAGTGCAGTGTTCGTGACAGCTGCCGTCGTGGTGGCCGTCGTGGTTTCTGGTCGTGGTTGTCGTGGTCGTCACTCGTCACCGTCGCAGTCGTCGGCTGCCGTCGTCGGTCGTCGGGCGTTGGTCGTCGGTCGCATGTCCTCGTCCGTCGTCTGTCGGCCGTCGTCTGTTGTCGCGTCGTCGTCTGTCGTTTTCGTCGTTGTCGTCGTCGGTCGTAGCGGTCGTCGTCGTCGTCGTCGTCGTATTTTGTCTTCGTTTGTTGGTGTTGCTTTTTCTTGTTTCTAGAATTTTGAACGAATTCCAGTTGGACAGATCTTAGTAATTTCAGGGTGGGACCCAGCCAACTGGTACCAATCCCAACCAGGAAGCATTGGAAGCTCGTGCATGTCTTTTCTGAGCACACGTGTATCTTACCGAATTGTTAAATCGCTTCGCTCATTCCGCCGGCGCATATTGCACGCCGTTGTCGACTCACCGAGTGGTCTTTCGCGGTGCGGAGCTGCAGGGGCGGCGGCTGTTTTTATCAGGTTTTGCGTTCGGCATGTGAGGCTTCTTGGTGGCCGCTGGGGGAGTCTTGAACGCGTCGCGGGCCGTCTGGAACCGTTTTGCCTATGGGGACTCTTTCGGGAGGCCTCTTGGTGGCCTCTTGGAGACTCTTAAACGCGTCGGGTCGTTGGCACTTGCTTGCGTGTTGGGGGGGGGGGCCTCCTGGGGCCGCTTGGGGGCCTCTTGGGGGCCTCCTGAGGGCCTGTTGGGGGCCTCTTGGGGTCTCTTAGGGGTCTCTTGGGGACTCCTGGGGGCTTTTTAGGGCCGAGGGCTCGAAATGTTGTCTCGTGTTCCCCCTTTGGGACCTCTGTTGGGGCGTTCTTGGGGCCTTCTGGGGCCGTCTTGGAGGCCTCTTGGGCCGTATTGGGGCCCTCTTGGGGGCCTCTTGGGCCCTTTTGAGGGCCTCTTGGGCCCTCTTGGGGTGGTCTTGGGGGCCCCTTGGGCCGCCTTGGGGTGTCGGGAAGCCGAAAAGGTGGAAACACCAAAAACTCTCCAGAACCCACGGAAAACCACTGATTTTTGCTTCTTTGGGCCCTCTTGAGGGTGCTCTTGGAGGCCTCTTGGGCCGTCTGGGGGCCATCTAGGGCGTCTTGGAGCGATCTTGTGGCATCTCGGAGCTCTCTTGTATCATCTTGACGGGCTCTTGGCGGCCTCTTGGCCTTTCTTGGGGCTTTCTGGACGGTCTCGAGGGCGGCGCCCAGGAGGAAAGCCATCTCTGACCCGAGTCGCCCGGGGCCTGCCCGGGGTACTTTTTGTCCGGGGACCCCCAGGGGCCGCCCCGCGCTCGCGAAGTAGAATTACTGTACAGCATTTACTGGAGATCTTAGCACGCCTCTGGCCCGTTGGGCCGGCGAATGCCGATTCGTTGGCTTGCGCCGCACCGCCGAACCCTTGCGAACTCTGGGTGCCCCTCTTCTGGGGTGCGCTGTCGTGGAAGTGCCTTGGCGCCGTGCGTCCATGTGGGAAGGCCAGGACTGTGCTCAAAAGCGGAGCTGTCGGATCGTTTTTAATGGCCTCTTGGGTCCTCTTCGGGGCTCTCATGGGGCACGTCGGGCCTATCGTGGCCATCTTGCGGGGGAGGGCCCATGCGACCTCTTCGAGTTTCGAATCTTGGTTTCTTCTTGGGGCCCTGAAGGGATCGCACATGTCACGGAGGAGAAGTATCAGAGGAAGAGAAGGTACCCATGCACCGCTACCCTTTCTTCGTTTTCCCCTTTTTCGGGCTCCTGTGATGCCCTCGCCACAGCTGGATTCGCCTCGAGATCCCGGTCAGGATTCACCCCGAGAGAGGTCCGGGGAGCATCTGTATTGGTACCTCTTTCTGGTTCCCCCAGAATGGACTGCCCGTCGCGACGTGTTTTCTCACGACGCGCATACGTCACGGAGGAGAAGTATGGTTGTGGAGGGCGATCGCTGGAGAGGAAGCATGTGTCCAAACAATTTCCAGATGTCTAAAACATGTGTTAAACATGCTTAACATGTTCAACACATGTTTAGAACATGTTTCCGACATTTTAAACACATTTTTAATTCAATGATAGGACTGTTAGGGTGTCCATTGTCGTGGCATTCAAAAGTATGGCGACAAGGAGCAGGGGGACGAGGGCGGCCCCTGCAGGCCTCCCGAGGTCCCCTGGAAGCCCTGCCAGAAGCCTTCTGGAGGTCTCTGGAGGCTCAGCAGGGCCAAGACGCCGACGTGATCGACCCGTCGACGACGACGACGATCACTTTAAGACTGTTTTTTTATTCGCGAGGCATTTAACATGTTTATCTCAAACCCTCGAAGTCAATTTTTTCCCGTCTCCGAGCGTACCCCCTTTGGGATACGTCTTTCTTGCCTGCCGCGTGCAGTCGGCGCAGCCTCTGAAACAGGGGGAAGGGAGGGAGAAGGGGAGAGACAAGGGGGAGGGAGAAGGATGCAGCACTAGAGAGTTGAGCCAGAGGGGGGGTAGGAGCAGGAGAACAAGCAGCAGAACCAGACGGGCAGGTCGGGCGGGTGGATCCTCACGGGCGGGTCTGGCGGGCGGGCCCAGACGGCCGGGTCGAGCGGGTGGGTCGCTGTAGCGTCAGTCTTGCATGAATCGCGAGGAAGTCTCTAGCGATAGCGCGCCCCAGGTACATCGTGAGGGAATCTTGACGCTCCCGCGCAATACGCGGTCCCCTCCGTGCGGCGTCCACGACGCGCACTGGCCAGGCTCCCTGGTGCAGTCTGCCCCTGGGGCCTGGCCCTCACTCGCCACTGCCGCCCGGACCTGGCGTCGACTTCGGGGTCTACGTGATGTGTCGCGGAGTGGTGCAGCCTTCCAGCGGACACCGTGCTTCCCCACTGGCGCCCCGTCCCCGCCTATTTGGCCTGTTCCGCGCCGCAGCTGCGGCACTGGCCCTTGGCGCCCTGTGGCGACATGGTCAGACTGTACCTGGCTCTTGTCCTTGGCACCTGAGCTCGAATGCGTGACTTCCAGCTCTCTGTTCCTGGTGGCGCACCGCTTCCTGGGTTGCCCGGCAGTGGTAACGCTCCGCTAGTTTGACGCGTGTTCGCAGCTACACAGCCGTTCATGCGTTCTTGGCGTGCAGGGCTTAATTCCGACATTGGCGTCTTTCAGCCTCCGGCTTGCACGTTGCACTAGCTACCCTGGGCGTCTGCAGACTTCCCTGCCAGCTCCCTCCAGCTGCTGCCCCCCGGCAGCCGCTTCTGAGTGCTTGCCCGGCCGTCTTGCGCTTGGCTCAATAAAGGGACCCCCCCCTTCAGTGTTTAGAGTTGATTACCGTCGCCCTATACAAAATTCAAATTGGGCGGCGAGCGCTGAGGCCGAACTTCATTATCACCTCGAAACGCTATGTTGAGATAGCAACATCAAGCGATGTTGATATAGCAACATCAAGCGAAGCGATCACACTTTTTCAGGATGTGTCAAGCGAAACCAATAATTTTGGGAGGCAGACTCAAACGAAACGAGCAATGTTCTTATTATTATTATACTTTCCTCTTCTTCTTTTATATTTCTATCTGTCCTCACGCTCGCCTGAACTTTTTTATCCCTGGGGTTGATTATCCATGGAAAATGAAGCACATGAACTACCCTACACGAGCACTTAAAACATCAATTTTCATAAAGCGTTTGTAAATTAAAATTGATAGATTTGGAACTTTGGATTCTTCCTTTCTTCGTCCTCTTCTTATTCTCCTCTTCTTCTTCTTTCGTATTATTCTTCTACTGTATTCTTCTTCTTTTATATTTCTCTCTGTCCCCACGCTCGCCTGAACTTTTTTATCTCTGGGGTTGATTATCAATGGAAATTGAGGCACATGAGCTACCCTACACGAGCACTTACAAAAAACAATTTTCATGAGAGATAAGCCATTGTTGAGGATATTTCTATGAAAACTAAACGCCAAGGATGTCTCAAAACGTGCTCGGCTTGGTCTCCTCTTGATCATCTCTTACTTCGAGATTATGCTGAGGTCTGCTGGGCTACTTTTATTATCTCTCCCTGAACCCCGAACTTTATTATCCCCTAGTGTT